TATGTTTACTAGATTGTTAACTAATTATTTTAAAGTTAATATTGCCTTAATGAACAGTGATTGAAAACATAACCTGTAAAACTCTGATGTTAAATGCGACGTGGTTGAAAATTTGGGTGCACCTAAGAAAAAATGTTGGGCGCACCGGTGCAACCAGTGCAAAATGTTAGTGTAGAGCCCTGATATACAACAGGTCTGGACCACTCGTGAATTTTGTTCGTATCTGAAGAAAATCTTAGAATACGAAAAGATTGGTGAATGCCACAAATTCTCCTAAATCACTCGTACGCACTACTTAAGAACAAATCTGTTCGTACGAACGGTTCTTGCATCAGACCCAATGCGTTCACCATAAATCACTAAACAACTTTTGTTTTGACTGCTTGCTTTGCGTAAAAAAAATTCTAAATAAAACTTTCATTTTGTTGTAAAAATTCTGGAATACTGACGGTAGTGTTTTTCGGAGTACTGTTGTCAGTGAATTCTTAAGCTGTGGAGGAAAACGACAAGGTCTTGATAAAAACAAGGTGGAAAAGGGGTAAAATACAGTCTAGCATGAATGTTAGAATTAAAGCCTGACAAAAGCAGAAACTCAGCTTGACATAGGTAACGTTAGGCTTGTTTTATTGGTTGAATGCATTTCGCAAATGAGCACACTAAAAGGAAARGTACTCAGGTCCCAGTACAAAAAAAAGCAAGCAAAGGATAAGCATAACACTCCAATACAGTTAAAAACATACTTGTGAATGCACAAAAGAGGCAAGATCAGTGCAGTATGGAAGCATAACTTAAAGCTTATTTAAGTTGATTGTTGAAAATTCCTGTACTTTTTCATATCGCAATGTACATTGCAGGATTAGAAAAATTGCAATATCAGATTTTCCAATATCGTTCAGCCCTATTTACATGCAGACAAAATCCCTAATCGTTTTGATAGTCAATGTAAAGAAAAAAGTACTTTGTTCGAACAGCATTCATTGTAAGTGTGTTTTATGAAGGCCTGACGGACAAGATGAGAAAGGATTTCACCATCATGAAGGACTTGAGTACCCACACCAGACTGAACCCAGATCAGAGGGAGAAACGCCTGAACAGATTTATCGGCAACATACAAAAGTACGTGTTTAGACAGTGTGAATTCATATCTGTTGTCTAGATCTGAAATGTTCTGTATATATATATATATATATATATATTGTATAACTAAAATTTAAAGACATTAAATTAACTTCAAGGGTTTAAAATCTTAAGGTACTGTAGGTGTGTAGCAGAACTAAGCTGATTATGTGAAGCACCATATCAAATTTGTGACAAACATATAATTTTCATAGCATATTAAATAAGTTTAGCGATTCTTTGTGGTGATTTTTTTAAACTAAATATAAAGTTTCTGTGGGTCATTAGTAGTTTACCCTCAATAATAAATCTGTTTTAATCTTGTGACCTGGTGGGTGCAGACAAAATGCTATCACTTCATAACATTATTATGCCATAAAGCCAGCTTACTTTTTCACATGACTACTACCTGGCTTAGTGAAAACGCACATAAGAGGTTGACTGGGTTTAACCAGGTTTAACCCTGTTATGCTTTAATCATGACTTATCATTTTCATAGGAACTCTGATGCTCAGGCCGAGTTGGCCAAGTGGGGACTAAGCTTTGATAAGCAGCTGCTCAACCTGACTGGCCGTGTTCTTGGAGGAGAGAGGATTTTTCAGGGATCGCGATCGGTATGGTATTCTGAGTGCAAAGGTTGGACT